CGGGCGTTGCGGTCCGCGGTGCCCGGCCGGCAGGCCCCGACTTACGTCCTCGGACTCGAACACGTGGCAGACCATCTTGTACTGCTTCCTGCCCTCGGGGGCCCCGGGCGTGCTCTCGATGCAGTCCTGCGACGCCGAGCGCGGCATGCGGCGCCGGGCCATGAGCACCACGATGCTGCCGATGTCCGCGATGTAGGAGATGGTGCGCAGCGCGTGGTCCATCATGGCCTCCTGTCCGGACAGGGCGGGCGCGTGAGGCCGCTGCAGGAACTGAGTTCAGGGCTCTCGGCCTCGACGCCGGTGACGTTTGGGGACAGGCCGCTCCTTACTGCGAAGGGCCGTCCTGTGCCCGGCCTCCAGGCACGAGAAGCCGGGGCACCCGGCACCTTCCTACGTTGTGACAGCCAAAAACATCTCCGGCCCCTGCCAAATGTCCCCCAGGGGACCAAATCGCCCGGGCTGAGAGCCGCTCCAGCAGGTAACGGAGCACCTCAGGGTGGCGATTCACTGTCAAGGCGAGGTCGCCACCCTCGTTCAGCTGTTCCCAAAATGACGTCGCCAGGCCCCACCTGATCGGAAGGCATCGTGGCTCTGGACGAGGGTCCCCCCCGCTGCAAGGCCGGGGCCTGGCCCAGCCCTCCTCTGGGCAGAGGGGACAGGCTTTAAGGCGACGTCCCCGTGATGGGCTCTGCCAGGGAGTCCACGCAGCTGGGCCCGGTCAGGGGACGGGAGGCAGCCGATGGGTCCGCACACCCCTTCGATGCCCTCGGCGCCCTGCAGGGCTGTCACCCCTGATGGCTTTGACCACCTGGCAGGAGTCTGCACGGAGTACCGTGCCCACCGAGGCCGCACCCGAGGCTGAGAAACGAGTCACGTGCTCTCACGCCTCTGTCCCCTTCCCACAAAGGAAAAGGGGTGTCTCCACAGCCCCTCAGGCCCTGTCCTTCCCCCCAGGAGGAGGCTCCCCCTCCGCCCCGCCCGACAGGCCGCGCCAGCTCCACAGTCGCCCACGCCTACCCGTCTGACCTCTCCAGCCCTCCGGCGACATTGCTAACTTTGGTCGCACCAGCTTCCTGCCCTAAGCAGACGTGCCTCGGCACGGATAGGCTCACTGCGGGGGTGCTGCCTGCGACCCAGCCGGCCGCCCCAACGCCCCCGACGGGACCGGGCACAGCTCACGGGGCCTTCCTGACCCCACCCCCCGCGGTCCCCAGAGACCCCACTGCAGCCTCGCCCCACGGCCCCCGCGGGGAGCTCGTCCGCAGGGGCCTCCACCGCCAGCTCCAAACCGCACCTGAGTGTCGGCATTCAACACCTTGATCCTCTGCGTGGAGATGAACAGGTCCACCTCGGTCAGGGTCGGGGCGTCGACCTCCGAGTTCTAGGGACGAACGGGGACGCCGTTACGAACCGAACGCGCCACTCAGAGGCCAGGCGGCGCGGCCACGGCACGGGCACCCCAGGGG